ATATATATATATATATATATATATATATATATATATATATATATATATCGAATTTTGTCAGATATCAGTAATATGAATATACATATGAATCAAGATAAGATTTAGTAGACGTACGTAATTTGGCTATTATTTTCATTTTACATTAAAGAAAGTCAATTTGAAATGCTAGTATGCTGGTACATACAATAATATACAAACTTGTCGATTATATTATTAATTTCGAATCTGTTATGTTGCAACATTAGTTGCACTGCAATAACAAACTTACATACAACCAGTTTGCTCATCTTTAAAAAAATTACTCTTCTCAATACCACACATCAGCCAACTTGAGATTATGTCCATTGTTCAGACAAGTGCTGTTGTCAACTTCTCACAAAAATATTATAATTTATTTACCTATACTTACATTTCAGAACAAAAGTATCTTGAGTATTGGTAAGTGAATGTTATCTTATTTTCTGTTATATAACTTTATCTTTTTACAAGGAAAGTTTTTATTTTTTTTAATGATTTGACTTGAAGCCTGAAATGTTTGCAATATTGTGTTGTTTGTGTTTGTTGTCGAAGTAGGACTATATGTTCACAAAATATTAGTCTTACACGATAATTTGGCGTTAAAACCTGGATGTTACGTCATTAAGAATTTCAGATTAACTTAATATTTATAAAACAATTAATATAATTTACGTACTCGGTATATAATGCTGCTACGTTATTAAAGTAGCATGATAAACGAATGCGTTATATTTCCTTGTAAATCGACATAATGTGCAGCGAAATGTTTGTATATCCATCTATCCTCTAAGATCCGTAAATTACTGATTACTCGGCAAATGACTTTACATGATCTTCTGTATCTTTTATAATGTATTCTACATTATGTCGCAAAAGTAAGAAGAAATTTTACACGCATCTTTTTACCTAAACAGTAATACAGTAGTGTTTGAAAAAGTATTTTGACATTTTACAAATTTTTATACACGTATTATGCATCCTCTGCATAAAGAAAAGATGATTTAGAAACCTTAATGAAGCGAATGTCAGTGAATTTTTTCTATTAAGGCTCCTGGCCCCTCACATTGTCTATCTCTTTTTAATGACATTAGAAGCGAAAAAATGCATGCTAAAAATTCTTGCGAAATATATTGAAATAAAAATATATATCCATAAAGTAACACTTGCAATCGATTAAACAAATTTGTAAGATATTCCGTGCACTCTCCTTTTGCTCTAACAATCAATAATTGTAAATTAATCTGAATAGAAATAGGTTAAAAAGATGAATTGTCACGTTAATTTACGACAAATTATTGATTATTAGAGCAAAAGGGGACTGCACGGAATATCTTACAAATTTGTTTAATCGATTGCAAGTGTTACTTTATGGATATATATTTTTATTTTAACGTATTTCGCAAGAATTTTTAACGCATTTTCTCGCTTCTGACGTCATAAAAAAGAGATAGACAATACGGAGGGCCAGGAGCCTTAATTTATCGCGTTTATAATGCTGTATAATGTAGTTTTCATGAATCATGTGTATTTCTATCAATAACGCCTATCAGTAATATTCGGAAATGCGATATGCCACAATCTGCATATCCATTACTTCATAACATGTATTTATTTCTGCGCATTAGAAATAAATGCATCGCATTGCGCGCGTAGGGCAAACTTAGTCGTAAGTCAGAATTGCACGAAAATTAACACGCGTAATCGTATCTACACGAAATAATTTTCAGGAAAAAATATAGAAGAAAACTCATCGTACGATACGCATTATGCGTATAACAATTCGTACGCACAATATTTGACGTTTGGTCGGATATTGACGTTTGGTCAAATTTCTAATTATCTTTCGACTTTAACGCTTTTGTAATTTCATACAATGAAAGATTCTGACTATCGGCCGCTGGTTTATTATTTTTACAATTATTATATAGGTAAGCCACAACATTTTTCTATTATTTTATTTTCAACAGAATTTACGTTGTTACACAATTAGTGTATTTCATGTGCTCGAATAGTTTGTGTGTGTACTCAGAACGTTACGCTTTTAAATCTAACGGCATACATCCAACTGAAAATATAAAACAAATTGATGTGGCTTTCCCATACTATGGCGAAGGAGATGTGATAATTTTATGAGATAGTATCCAACAGCATCTTTACGGAGGTGTACAAATACCGGATTTAAAGTAACTTATACCAGCTATTAACGTATCAATCGACTTTCTTTACAGATAACACGGAGCAGGAGTGTGTTTCGTATATGAGTTTTGGCGCGATTTTGCGGAATATTAATTTTACGTAATATTGTATCTGTAAATTAAAAATCGACTTCTGCTTTACGAGAACTTTACAGTTCATCTTGAAATGTCATGCCGAGTTATTTGTAATCAAAATTTGCATGACATAAGACTCCTGATGAACATCCTCCTGCTAGAATATGTAAAATAGCAGGATCGATATAGCTCTGACTCATTAACTAACTCGTATTTCTGTGTTTTTTTGTCTTGTTGATAGCGTTTGGCAGATTCCCGTCGACGATGACAACCTTTACCCAGGGCAGCTACACATGTATGCGATTCAACAGTCCTTGAGTAAAATCAGCAGCAAGCGCGCGAAATAACAAAGTTTCAAACATTGCAGTGATAGTTGATGCATTTCTGAATCTTTGTTTGGGACTTTGCAAAAGAATATTATCTCGTTTAACGCAAGCGAGAGATGCGCGCGTAGAAGCAGCGTTGCAATAGCTCAGAAACAAAAAGAAAAATCAATGTGTACAAAGCACATTTATTTTTACGTTCTCTTATATGATGGACGTATTTCCCACATATCTTCAAAATTGTGCCCATATTTTCAATTTCGTTATTTTACGCGTATAAATGGTAAAAAAAAACTTTACATGACATGCTGTACAATTTTCTTTTGCAATATATTACATGTATTGTGATAGTTCCCAGCATTTGTTTCATCATAAATATTCCATTCTATTAATTTTTCACGTTTGTACTGTTTATGTCAGTATAGCTACGTGATATTCGATCGTAAAAAGCTACCAGATTTTGTACATTCACATTCGGAAATCAATCGAATTAAACTAATACGTTAATTTCTGTGAAATATGTCCATCGAAGAATTACGTAGAATTGGCACAGTATAGCAAACAAGAAATTATAAACTCTTGAACGTCTCCCATTTGCAAACTCCGGATCATTTGGGATAACAAAAAAGATAATTACTTTTTCGATTTCTCTTTGATTTCCCACTATTAACACTGTGTGTTAAAAACTAAGAACGATATATATGTATGTAAGTCAGAATATTTGCTCTTTTCTTTTATCATAAATGATCAATAATATCCTCCTTTTGCCAACTTGCCTGCACTAATTTATTTTACTTAGTTTCAGAAACTATATTCTTTTCAGGCGTGATAAAAATTTTATTTCAGACGCATATTGGCAAACTGGACTATATTCCACTTCTCCTATTCCCCAATCCAATGTTTCAAGAGTTTAGTATTGCGCGAGCTTTGGTGCAGCATATATATAATATTTACTTCCTTTCTCCTATTTATTATTAATTTATATTTAATAAGACAAAATATTTTTGGACAATTAGAATCGAGTTTCTTGAAATTTGATATTACAGTCTCTGACTATATATCATGTATTGTCAAATATTCCCACGAAAATTTACCTTCACCAGTCTTTGTTTCAAATCTGTAAAATTGGTGCACCTTAGTTATCCGATTGGATGGATCGTTCTTTCTCTCGTACTCTTATTACATGAAGCGGAAAGGCATTTCGACACATAAACGAGAAAGAAAGAAACATCTCCAATCGTATTGTATCTTTGCATGTTAAAAAGATTTAAGCAAAATTGATGCCCAGAGCAGTGGAGGCCAATTGAAATCAAATTACATATGGATAACGCGCGCGCGAATTTGACAAGCGTTTCATGATTTATTAAAAATGGTCCTGCGTCTTGGCACAGGGTTCTCAAACGGTTGGAAAGAAACATTTATGAGTGGAGAACAGGAACCGTGGGTTTTCCGCGGTGGGCTTACAGCTGATTTACAGGTATGTGTCACTTGTTTATCTTGTTTTACACTTAGTATATTATTATAGTAAGATATATTGAAGAATGTCACTTTTGTGTTTTTAGCGGTTAATTCCAGTGGATAGTGGTAATGACTTGTTTGTTTATAAAGCACCAGAAGTGCCCAGTAGTAAAATATATACAATTCGCCCGTATTTACCGAGCGATGAAGAAGCAGTTTATACAGTATGCAACCAAATTAATAATTGTTCATCCTCATCAGCTGTGGCTGACAGGTAAAAATATTCATATATTATATATGAATTATGAATATATATTCATATATCGATATATGTGATTTGTGGCTTTTCTGAATAAATCGTTTTAATCAAGTACACTTATTTATCACACAGACTTGTTGGAGGTTTTTTAACACTGAGCCCGGAATTATGTATGGTTGTTGAAGATGAAAATGGTATAATAGGTTACACAGTAGCTACGCTGAATATAAAGTCGTACAACCAGAAGATAGCCGTTTCCTGGATCCCTGAATTGCGAATGAAGTATCCATTAGATAATAGCGTTAGCGAATTGCCGCAGAACGTTCAGGTAGGCAGTTATTAGCCTTATAATTTTTTTATAAAAACACTGATGCGAAAAATATCTCATAGCTCACAAGACAAACCTGAATTTCTTTATTTTTCACAATTTTATGCGAATTTGTATCTTACACCGTTATCTCTACACTGACAATTGTTTAAATTCAATTTGCAGGATGCCATACAGTATTTCCACTCGTTTATCCCGGACGTGTCGGAACAATTGTGCAGGCAACATCCATCGAAAATTATGTGCGCCGTGTTGCCAAGTATCACGGATCAATCAATTTGTAAACGTTTAATAACTTGTGTCCTCGCGGCTTTAAGAGCAAATGGTAAATTAAATGATTAGTGTGACATACTAAATTTTTCTAAATTTTTCTAAAGCATAACTTAACATAGAAATTAACATTTTAAGAGAGTCATAGTATATAATATATAATCAATAATGTATAATCATGCTTTGTATTTTATATCATGATTTGTGTTTATAATGTGTGAATAATAGCGGTATATATTACAGGATCCTTTGGAGTACACACAGCAATGTCCTCTACGGATAAGGAATCCCATGAGTTCTATGGCAAGTTAGGTTTTGTCGATTTGAATCCAGTGCATGAAGAGCACCCAGGAATTAAAACTATGTGTAGAAGTTTCTAACAAAGAATCAATGCTCCAGTAATTTTCATCAATAAGGTATACTTGATTGGACCATCTACTAAAAAAACAGCGACTCATTGAAGGAAGTATGAATAATTTTTAGAACACAAAAGACTACATGTATGATACAATTGAATGTTTTTATTTTCCAATATCTTTAAAATGCAAGCATGTCTAACATGTCAAGTATGCCAACGCGATAGATTATTAAATAAGCTTACTTTCGTTACGAGAATGTATTCTAATAGGATAGAGTCGTTTATAACGCATTCGATATAGTTTTTCTCACAGTATCGAAATCTTTAGAAATATTTGATACGAGTATATACATATGTACATATAGGTATAGTAACTGATATTAAATTTTAATATTATATAGTATTAAATTTAATTATTATATACTATTTAATTTAAGATATTAAATTTTAATATTATATAGTAATGATTCTATATATCACACACGTATAGGAAAGAGACTATAATAAGCATATATATATAGTGCAATAATCAGATTCGTTAATAGTATAATACGTGCTCGCTTTTTCCTTTTTCTTTTGGAGTGTCATGTCTATCTTATATTGACGACACTGGTGACATTTTAATATCTCTCAGAAGCTCGAATAATATTGGTATTCTTTTTAAACATTTGTACATAAAATTCCGAACGGTGTGTGGTGAAATGCCAGTATGTGTGTTCATTAACGAGTCGTCTAAACTTTCCAATTCATTGAGAACTATTTTCTTATCAAAATCATATATAAGGATGACTGAATAAGATTTTAAAGCGCATTCTCTTTAGATGCTTATATAACTGATATAAAAACATATATCACATATGTATATGATATGTATTATACATACATATATATATATATATATATATATATATATATATATATATATATATATATATATATATATAT